ACCACCCAGGGCCCCCTCTTTCCCCGGGGCCCACTTTTAAATATATTTTTAATATATGTATATATATTATAATGTTGAATATAAAATTTATTTTAAATCATAATTTTTTTATCTATTATCAAGGTTTTTTGTATTTTATCCACCTTCTAAATTTCATAAAAAAATTAAATAGTAGTTATCATTAGTGAAATTAATATTCTTTTAATACTTTATTAATTTTTTCTTCTTGCTTGAATATACAAAAAGTTATCTTCTGATTGGATAATTCAATTATGTTAGCGATAGCCATTAAAAGGGTTAAGTGAACTCAACTCATTTTCAGACGAGTTTTAATTTTGATTTTTAATTCAACTTTGTTAAATGTAAATTAAAAATTAATACTTTCCAATAAAATAATTTATATAATTATAACTCAGTATTATGTACTTTACTAAACCACAATATGTCATACTCAATCTGTAACTGCTTATCTATTTTTCGTATGAAAAAACAATATATTCAAAATGGATTCTGAATCGTTTTTCATTTTGAAACGATAAACACTGGAAAATGTCATAGAAATGAGTATCGGCTCGGTGCTTTGAGGAAAACCCTAAAAAATTGGTATTTGCCGCCTTGTATAGGCGAAGCCAGTGAATCAGTTCCGTTGGATCGTGTTGACCAAATTTAAATCGTCCGATGTGGTAAATATGTTTCTGGGCTGGATACATTCATATATTGGGCCAATTTTATGGAAAACTGTTAAAGGTGTGAAATTAAATTTTAATTAATGAATGTTGGTCACCTATTATGGCATGGAAAAATAGGCGCATTGGACCGAACATATGGGTTGATTATTAATATCTAAAAATTTAATAGTATTGGGCTAAAACTAAATTCTCATTAAACATATCTGATCCGTGTATCGAACGGGATACGTACTAGCAAGTACTAACATGGTTACTATTGTCATAATACTATATATATATATAATAATAATAATAATAATAATAATAATAATAATAATAATAATAATAATAATAATAATAATAATATAATAATTAATAAATAGTGACTTAATTAATAGTAACTCATATTTATAGGAAGATATTATGGTCTCGTTACGGAACTATTACATCAGGGATTGTAATCGTTAGATCAACTATCTCTGACGGTTACATGTTAATCTAACGGTTATATATCCCGACGAAATGATTATGTAACATGACCTTAGCATTTTTTCATATTATATCAAACTTTTCAAAAACACAATGGTATTAGTTACTTGATAGTATTTCAATTTTAAGAATTTTTTATATTGGCACACTCGTGTTACGTACATTAAAGTCCTCATATTAAAGTCCTCATATTAAATTTTAAAGTGATATTGTGTGTGCGAAAAACAAATCATTTTACTTGGAATCAAATCTTATCTCATACTATTTATTTCAACTACTTATTTAATAATATTTGCTTGATTGTTTTTTTTCTCACAAGTCACTTGTGCTTGTGTAGATAGCTGTGAAAGCTAAATAGATAAAGGAATGGAAGTCCAATGCAAACTTAAATTACGCAATAATTTCGTCCAACTGATTGTCAAAATGCGGAAAATGAACATTTAATATCATAAAAAACAGAACATCCAATTATCCCTGGATCACTAGGGCTGGAGGAAGGCGTCTGCCAACAGCTGGCCAAGCTTGACCTGCGCAGCCGTGGTCAGGTGTGTGTTGTCGGGCTCCAGCGAAAACCCCATTGCGTCCACACACCGCACCCCCGCCATCCCAAGGTCCAGCTGTGCCGACCGAACAGTCTCAAGGTCCCTGGGAGCAGTTTGGTTTAAATTCCCCGAGGCCAACGCCACCTGGATGATCGGGAGTTGCGGCATTGCGAGGTCGGCTCGGAGGGAGTTGAAGAACTTCTGGAGACGGTGCCCGTACGCGGCAGCAAGGTGAGGGGAAACCGTGTCGGACTCCCCCTGATACCACAGCATCCCGGCTATGGGGCCCAAGGACGATCTAGCGGCCTCGGCCCGTGCAAGCAGGTTGAGGTAGTAGCTGCTGCCTCGTTGCCACTGGAGGATGTGGGAGCCTCCCATGGCGGCCGGGACGAGGGCCACGGTGGCAGCGCCGGTGTTCGAGGGGTCGACGCGTCGGAGAAGGGCGGTGGCGAACGGCAGACCGGGGCCGATGCCGAGGTGTTGTTCCTTGACAGTGATGTCGATGCCGCGGTGGAGAGGCTCGGCCGCAGGCTCCCATGTATAGTTGGGAGCCAGTCGGATGACGGAGTCCGGTATGGCCGGAATGGACTCTGGCGGGACGAAGCGGTCCCACACGCCGCCCTTCACGCCGCCTCGACCGGCCATGTTGCTTTGGCCGGCCAGCAAAACAGTGAAGGTTTTGCCGTTACTGAGGGTGGGACCAACATTGGAAAAGAGGAAAAGGATGAAGATGAGTGGATGCATTTTTCTTCTTTTTTCTTTTTTCTCTTAAAATGTTTCAAGGTTGTATAATGTGGCTCAGTTTCGTAAGTTCGGGGGAGAGTTGCTTGGTTTATATTGTAATAAAATTTTATATTATTGTTTTGTGTACCATATAATTAGTATAATAGTCAAACTTAATTAAGGTGAATATGTATTTAATGAATTATTAATGTTCTATATTAAAGAGTTCAGTTTGTGATGTTTGATTTGGACATTAATTTTTTTTTTTTTTTGGGTACAAAAAAGGAGGACGAAAGTCAACTTGACAGGGAATGATAGTAGGACTAGGATTCTAAGTCATTTTCTCCTATATATACCACATGTCACTCTCTCTCATCCCATACGAAAATAAAGTTATCAACATCACGGATTTTATGGAAAGACTAGAAACGCGGGAGAGAAACAATAATTCATAGGGAAAGACGCACTACAACATAAGTGACATTTAGTAATATATTTGTTTTAACACTTTACAAATTATTAGTTTATGTAACACATTATTGTAGCACTTTTAATTTTATTAAATTTCTTACATTTATGTAACATTTTTGTAACACTTTACTAATCTGTAACATTTTTATGTAACACTTATAAAATTTCTGACATTTATGTAATATTTTCGTAACACTTTATTAATCTGTAACATTTCTATGTAACACTTCTATGTAAGTAACATTTTTCAGGTAATATTTTTTTAATTATATTTTATAAAACAATTTAAGATCTTGATCAATTAATATTATATAACAGATCTTTTCAAAACACTATAATACAAAATATGTATTAGAACATTCCGTTACATACATATTATTATGTGTCTTATTTTGTGAGTTAACCTAACTTTGTCAATCTCAAGTCAAATTCCATCAAGTTGCTCGTTTATATCATTATACAAGTGAACCGATTAAAATCAAGTCAGCTCGATCACTTGAGCATTGTTCTGAATGAGTTAATCCGATCCACCCAAATATTTTTTATTTTTTATTTTGTGATTTTTTTCTTCAATATTATAATTTTAAGAATAAATACTATTTTATATTTGAATTGTAAATATTGTTGACGTATGTCTATCCGTCTATATATATATAGGGTTGGGTTCCGGTGAGAATATGTCTCAATGAAAGAAATGAGAATAAATCGTGTCCACTAGATCATATTAATCGGATGGCTACAGGGAACGCATCCAATTAAATTCACGCCATTAACTGGTGGGTATAATGGTAATTACCAAGTCAATTAATGTCGGTTGTAAGAAAACCCACATGCTCATTCCCGTAGCTGAAACCCTTGCCTCAACTTCCCTCACATCAAATTCCCTCACCCCATCAAATTAATCGAATTTTGTGGTCGATCTTCATGAACATCAAGCTCGAACTTCCGATTTATTGAGTGTTGCTATCAATTTATTGGAGTATTATGAACAAACTCCATGAAATCGAGGTATGTATTTCCGTTTTCTCTTGAATACTGCTATTGATATGGGATATTATATACACGAGGCTAATCCGGTCGGCTCAGCCGGTCGGGAGGGTCAAACTAAGAAGAAACCAAGACAAGAAGCGGGAGGATCGATCATTCAGATAGTCGACCAAGCAGGTGGTCGACCAGTCCGTCGCACGATCCGAAAGACGATCGAGCAACCCGTCGCTCGACCAGATACATGATCGGGCAACCTATTCGACCTCAACAGGTCGGCCACTTCGAGGACTTAACACCACGTGGATCGACCTAGTCATAGGCGCGTGAGAGAGCCTCTAACAGAATTCCAGGAGAATATTTACCCCATGTGCAGGGGGACACGCGTCAAAAAGGCAGTGGTGGATAGCGATAACCACCTCTGACAGCCTACCCCATGTGCAGGAGGACACGCGTCCAAAGAGGATTGGTGCAGGCGATAGTGGCGATGGCTACCTCTGACACACGCGTATGGTGTGTACGGACGGGCAGTTAGGGCAGACAGCTCATCAAATCCGGGCAAGTCCTAGGTCAGGTATCTCACCCCTATATAAAGGGGGTGAACTTTTCTTCTTGAACACGATCATTCTATTGCTTACTCTTGAGAATTTATTGAACATACACTGACTTAAGCTTCGGAGACTCTTCACTGGAAAACCCCTCCGGTGTGAGAGTTTTTTGTAGGTGCACAACGTTCAACCGGCGAGAAGGAAGGCGATTATTCAAGTTCCAGCCGATCGGGAAGTTTTGTGTTACCATTTTGCGCCGTCTGTGGGACCTTCGTTTAAAAAGTTGTGTTTGAAGCTCAGCTATGGCGGACGGAATCCCCAAAAACTTGCAATCGACGTTCGACGACGCTTGGGCGATGAGGGCCGTTTGGACAAGGCCCTCCTCCGGGTTTTTCTGGCCCATTGCAGACGCCGGTCACTCCTACGCCGGTTCTTCAAGGTGTAGAAGTGACGACAGTGATTCCCGGAGGAGATGCCGACTCCAACCGTGCCCAGGAGATTCGCGCAGCGGATGCGGCGGTGATGCCACCACCGCCTCCACAAAACCCAACGGCAGCGCCTCTAGGAGGAGCGGCGGCGCAACC